AGAGGTTTTTAAATTTATATCATCTCAGTGAGCAGGCAGCGAGCACACACGCTGTGCTCGCTCCGACCCCAGGGGTGCAGCAGGCTGGCACGTGTACCCTGGGCACCGAGGGGCCTCAGTGCCAGCTCTGCTGAGCGGAAACGAGACCTCTCCCGCCGGACGGGAGCAGAGACGGGCTTTCGTCGGGCATTGAAAATGGTTTTTAACTAGTTGGCTGCTTCCCAGTTCCCACTGCACTCCTCCCACGGGAGACAAAACCAGGGACAAACTCTCCCAGCCTCACCAAGACGGGACGCTCAGGGACAGGGTCTGTCTGAAGCGGGTCCCAGGGAGTGGCAGGGATGTGTTTAACTCACGCATGTGGGCTACCATGTGGGCCAGGCTCGCGCCTCCAGCAGAGCTGCCTGCTAAAATTCCTCTGCAGGGGCAAAGCCAGGCGCAGGCAGAGCCGTTCCCTCACACGTGCGGCTTTTACCACACCCGGGCACTGCTCAGCTCCGAACGGGGGAAAAGCTACAACCAATTAAAGCAGATGGACATGCAATTTCACAGGAGACATTTAAAAATTATCTTCAAGTTTGCTTGTCCTTCCTCTTCACTCTCCTGCTTTTAAAAATAAATGGGATTTGGCGAGATTGCCAAAAGCATCTTTAATGAGGGGCTGATCTGGGAAGTATGCTGCCTTGGACCTCCTGAAAGCACACTTGACATCCCCCTTTACACAAAAAGCAACCGTTTTTCACCTACCTGCAAGCCCCTGAGGGGAGCCGACCGGTGTAGAGGGGTTTGACGAGAAGTTATTGCTAGAGTGATCGGGGGAATAAATCTGGAGCGAGAGAAGCAGGGCACGGTCAGCAGCGCCCACCCCTGCGACGGCTCTCCCCCTCCCCAGCAGCACCACCAAGCCCAGCTGCAGCGAGGACCACCCCATGGCACCTCCCTTCCCATACCAACACCAGCTCCCAGCCAGCGTGACGGGCCAGCCCGCTCATCACCCCGCAGCTCCCCCATTAACACTGGGGTCTCTCTCTGTCCCCACTGCCGCCACCTCTGCAGCTACAGCCTCCATTCTTCAGGTCCCACCTCAGAGGAAAGCGAGAGCCCCAAGAAATTATTGCAGGGTGCAGTGCTGAGCACCCCTCTGCCACCATGCAGAAGCAAAGGCCCCTGCACTGAACGGGACAGAGGAAACCTCAAGCTCCGACAGCCCAGTGGGACCAGTGCCCTCCAGTTTGAACCAGCACACGCAGGGCCAGGACTACTGGGACCTGAAAGTCCTGCTATGAGGGCTGCGCAGGGTCGTCCTGCCAGACCAGTACCAGGCTGGGTGGCCACAGAGCTGGGTCATGGACACGGGTCTGTGGGACCACCATAACGTCCATTGCCTCAGTTTCCCTGTCTGCCAAAAGGTGCTTTTGCACAGTGCCAGGACTCAGGGAAAACCCTCCCCTCAGAGGCTGCCATGTTTTTGGGGTGCATTCACCCAAACTTCTCAATGTGTCCGTCTTCCCTGCTGCTTAGAGGGTCCCTATTACAGAGAGGAGGTCCAACGCTGCGACAGGACAGGGACCGGGTCAAGGATCTGCAGAAACTCTTACTGAAGCTAGTGCCTTCCCGAGTGCGTCTCCCGAGCTCCCAGCTGTGGTTCCTCTGTTACCTGCCGAGAGAGAACACAGACATCAGCGCCAGGGAGCCAGAAACCCAGCAGGGCAAGGCACCCGTACAAGACCCTCTCTGGGGTCACCTGCTCTGAGACTGAAATTTCTCGCTCACTGCTTTGCTTGAAAATTAAGTGGATGCCCAGCTCGGAGCAGCCCGGATGAAGGCACACACACCCCGGCAGCTTTCACGGGGCTGCGGGAATGTCTTTATAAGACACTGGGTCGAAGGTGTCATGCCATCAACAGCAATCAAATGTCTCTGCTGCAGCGCAGCCCATTTTCATGGGGCATCTTAAGCCCCTACAATCCCAAACTTGCTTCCCCTCCTCTAAACAAGGGGTTTTCTACGAATCAGGGTCAGGATCCTCATTTCCTGGGGAACACGAGTTCATTTCAGTAACCGGTTTCAGCAGGGTTAGAGATTAAAGCACTCAGGGGTTTAACGTGGTATCCAAATGCAGCACAAACATTCCTATTCTGGATTTAGACGAACGGCTTCACACATACGCCCGCCTTCCCTCAACACAAGTGCAAATCCTTCCCGCAACTCATTTAAGGCACGGCACCTCCACGAGATAATGTCACAGATCTTGGTCTCCTCCCAGATCCACCAAGCGAGGTGTAAACCCCCAAGCCAGCACCCCGTCCCCCTGCTATAGCCTGCCCAGGTATCCAGCAGCAATAACCTCGCCGTGCCTCTTCCTCACGCAGTAACTCCATGCACGGGTGACACACAACAGATAAAAAGTGGCCGGGTACATCAGACACAGACATTACAGCCTCGGGCATCAGAGGTTTGCACAAGACTTTGATTTTCCAGTTAAGCCTCTGCATGGCAGTGGAGCGAGGGGGGTCATGCTGGGGACCACCGCGCACCCGGGGGCCGTACGTACCCATCATGCTGTCCGTCCCGCTGATCGGGGGCGTGTGACTGGAGACACCGTACGGCGTGGAGGCAGAGGAAAAGCCAGACACAGAAGGGAGTCCGCCGTTAACCTCTCCTGAATGAAGCTGGTAGTTCTAGCAGAGAGGGGGAGAGGGGTGAGAGGTGCCCTCAAAAGGCTGCCGGGCTTCAGCGTCCGCGCCAGGACCCAGGCCCTCCCTGCCGTTTTTTCCGACAGCTACGGGACGAGGTGACGCGCCACCACCACCAGCTGGCTGAGCAGAGCCCCCCAGCCCGCCCGCGGGGCAGCGCGGGGACGCATTACCATGCGTTCATGCTGATGTAAACTGTTGAAGCCGCTGGACTGCGGGAGCGGGGAGGAGGAGCTGCCCAGCATGGCACCGTAACTCGACTGGCTCATGGCACCCGGTGAACTCCACAGGTCTGGCGAGTTGTGGAGCCCGTCTGGAAGGAAAACCAGAGCTGAGCGGGGCAGAGACGCCAGCATGTGTCCCACAGCCCACACGGTGGCAAGTCAGCCCAGGCTGAGGGGCTGTGTCTGTCCCCATCGCGTCCTGCCTACGCTGAGCATCACCCGCTGTGCAAATCGGAGCCATTTCAGGGCTGCTTTGTGTCTCATGCACTCCTGCCCCGAGCTCCCTCCATCTCATGGGCTGTGCAATTCCTCCCATCGTCCACAACGGGCCAGGCAGCCCCTGCTCTGGCCAGCTTGCAGGATGCCAGAGTTGTTAATTACTCACCTGCCATATAAAAGGCTCCGGGATACACAGTGCTGGGAGGTTTCGAGGGAGTATATCCAGCTGGATCCCTGCTGTAGTCATCACCTGAGTTGGATGGATACACCTGTGGGGCAGGAAAGGGGTTGAAGAGAAGTGCTTGGCCACCCCATGGCCCCACATCCTCCCCATGGGTCACCCCACCCTGCGCAGCTTCGCTTTTATTCATCACAGCAGATGACGGAGTCGGTCCCACAGCAAAGCCAGGGAGGGAACCGAAGCAGCTCAGCTGAAGTCACGGCGGCGGTACCGAACGGCGCAGCTCTGCTGGGGGGCGGCGCAGGGGACGGGACGATCGCGCAGAGATGTCCCCGTCTGCCTTCCCGTAACAGCGCAGATCCCCGCAGCCCCCTCCTGCAGAAGACGCCGGCGCTGGCAGAAGTTTCAACTCTCTGCTCTAGTTCCTTTTTCTGCGGTTATAACTTTTTATGGGTAACCACAAAAGCAATCATTTCTGCGTGCTAACCCCGCACCCAAGGGCGCGGGCTGGGCGGTGGCGACGGGGACCGGTGAGGCTTCCGGACCTGCTCACCCCTGCGCCGACCCTGCCGTACGCTGGGCTGCAGCACCGCACCGGGAGCAGCCGCTCCTGAGCACGGCCTGTGCTCAAACCCTGCATGGAAATCAGCCCGTCCCGCTCGAGGGGAAACTGAGGCGTGGGGGAAGCATTGAGCTGAGGGCTGTGCAGTCCCTCAAAAGGGATGTCACACGGGAGGGGACGGCTCTCGGACAGCTTTCGGCCAGATTTCTGCAGCACCGTTCAGCTACATTATTTACAGCATATTATGCAAAAGAAAAGGCTTTTTAAAAAAATTTTCTTCTAAATTAACCAAACCCATCTCAGAAAGGCCTTACAGAAAAACATCTTGTGCCAGTGCAAAACCATACTTTTTTTCTTTTTAAAGCAGAAATTCAACATGTAAAGAAACTGAAATGCCACTCAAAATTACGTGAGAACCTTTGTTACAGCCTATTTTCATCCCCATTGATTCATTCTGAAACCGCTAATAATTTTTTTTTTAAATACACACGAAAGCAGAGGCGGGCGCAGGGGCTGGCCA